GTGACAGATGCCATCCCCCACCTGTCAATCCAGGCTCCTTCTCTTTCCCCAGGAAGCTGACATTGCCTGACTCAGCCTCCAATGACCCTAGCCCTGCTAAGCACCTGTGTAGGCTGATGCCAGAGATCTTCCCAGGATGCAACTCTGATATACCTCCTCTTCCTCCTCTGACCGCTGCCTGCCCACATACCCTTGGAAAGATCCAAACTCCCTGTCCTAACAGAACTGGCTGGCACTGCCTGAGCTGCCCACCTCCACCTGCAGCCTGGAACTACAGGTGGCTGCTTCTTTCTGCATCTGACAGTGCCACCTCTCTGCTGATGGGCTCCTTGCTCCAAGGCTCTGGGCTCCCCTGGTGCCTGGCTTCTGAGCTGTTCAGCTTTCTGAGGCTCAGTTTCTGGACAGGTCCAGAAGCCCTGGAAGCAGGGGAGATGGGAAATTCAGGAACACCTTCTGTATATCTGTGTCTTAGTCATTTTTCTCTCATTGCTGGGACAAAAATACCTGACATGGAGAATTAAGGAAAGAAAGGTTTATTTAGCTCACAGTTTGTGGAGGTTTCAGTCCATAATCAGTTAGCTCCAAGGCAGGGTAGCATAGCACAGGGGCAACAGTTCAAAGTAGCAGAAGATAGCAAAAGCAGGAAGAGCAAAAAGTGGGGAGAGCAAGCCTCTTCCCTCCTTTATATTGTAATCAGGCTACCAGCACCCTACCCTGACCCGATGGATCACCTCTCCCAGCAAGGAACCAGCAATCGCAAAACCTCAGTGCCCTCCTATTGCACAGGCTCAGGATGTTTAAGGAGTTAGGAAGTGACTCTGGCCCCCTGCTGAGTCCCTTAAACTCAAGTTGATACAATGTGTTAACCATTACAAGGCAGACTCAGGACCCTCACCTCTCTGGATTTCTAGCAGGGAGGCTGGGGCTGGAGGGGGAAGTGGCCACTCTTATCCCCTGGATGAGGTGGCACAGCCTGTCCTATCCTAAATGTTCTTTATTGTGGCTCCAGGGATGCCCTTGCCCTTAATGGCTGCCACCCCCTGCTGGAGGTTGGGGAGGATCCACAGTGACCCCCATGTGGGGGTTGGATCACCAATACCCCAGAGCCCTGGGGAACACCTCTACCCGCCTGTGCAGATGATTCAGAAACACTTGCCAATGGGATCTTTCTCATGGGCATTTTTCCTGGGCTGCAAACTGAGCCTCTGTCTATAAAGTATTTTCCCAGAAGTTCGATGCTGACCAGGTGCCATCTGGGATGCGTGCATCACACACCGCTGTCCAAGGGTCACTCTCTATGTCTAATTGCACCCGGTGTGTGTCGTGGGCCATTCTGCCTGGAAACCCCATTATCCTTCGAGGTTTGCTTGGCATCTGACAGGGTAAGGATATTCAATCCAGGTCCAGTGGAGCCAGGCCTGTGTGGACAGAACACGGGAGGGGTAGTGAGAGGCTGACCAGGCTGCCCTAACCCTCTGTGTGGATGCTGCCCATGGGAACGTACGTTGGGCCAACTGATGCTGGGGGGGGGGGCACTGCCTCCTGGCCCCTGGGGATGACCTGCAGAACAGGATCCTGGGAGGCAGCATGTGATCCGAATCAGGGAGCCCCAGGTGTGTGGGGGTAGTGGGGCTGGGGCCCTGCGGGGGCACTGCGAGGGGGGAAGTTCCCTTGGCTGGACTGCAGGTATAGAGAGGGGCTCTGTGGATGCTGGGGTGCCCCCATTAAGAGCTGAGCAAGCCTGGTGCACTCCGGCTGGAAGCACAGCCTTGCGGCTCCCAAGGGAAGCCGAGAACCACCTGCAGGGAACATGGAAATGCAGGGTGCTGATCCCTAGGGCTCGCCCAACCCCACTGCCCCCATGACACCTGGCTGCACACACCTGTCCTCTCCACATCTCCCCTGAAGGCTGCTCTTTGCCAGGCTGGAGCCCCTTGTTCATGGAAGGAGTGGAAGAAACGAGGTGATCTGAGAAGGAGCTCAGCCTTCTGGGAGGGGAGGCCATGTGTGACCCACATCCCTTCTCCTACTCAGGGTGCACAGTCCCCATAGAGGGGGGCCCAGTGCCAAAAGTCAGGAGCCTAGGGGCAGGGTGCCTGCCAGAGGTCAGGGTTCCTCCCCTGCCCACCCAGTATAGAGCATCAGAGTCCACTGGTAGGATAGAGCCCCAGGAGGGTAGGCTTCCTTTTCCTGCCCGAGCAAGGGGCCTCCCATTCCTGTGTCTCTCTCGATAAGACACAGACTGATAGACACAGACTGGGGTGCAGGTAGACTGGGGCTGCCAATGCGTTCTGGGCTGAATTCTTCCTCCTTAGGGTTGATGCTGCAGCCCTGACCCCCAGAAGCACAGGAGGTGGCTATGTTTGGACACTGGGCCTTTGCAGAGGAAATGCAGGCTCCAAGAGGCTCTGAGAGGCTCTCATCCTGATAAGAAGAGGAGATGTAGCTCCGTCACCTCCAGTTCACAGATGGTGAGTACTCTCGTGCTCAAGGTCTCCAGGAAGATGGCTGAGCTGCCAGCTTCTGTGTGCAGTGACATTGGCCTGGCACCTGCACAGTAGCTGAAGGATACCAGCCTGGAGCTTTCCCTTGGGCAGCCGGAGAACTCACCCCGAGCTGCCCCCGCTGGTGCATGCAGTTCTGCCCACACCATGGGGCCACGTTCATGCTCCAAAAGGACCTGAACTCTTGGCGGGGAGTCAACCTGCCTGGACACTTGGCAGGGCCTGCAGCTGAACCTGCAAGAGCAAAAGGAGAGAAAATACCAGGCTGCCTCAACCTGGGGAGGAGCTGGCCATTTCCCAGTCGGGCAAGGCCTCCAGGAGGCTGGTGGGACTCCAGAGGAAGGGCAACCCTTGATACTTGTTCTCTGCTGAAGCCACCACACTGCCACTACTTCATAAAACACCTACGGAGAAGAAGCATACAGCAACGAAGGAGAACTGGCTAGCAGGTGTATGGCACGGGGCCCGCCTGGCTGCCCATCCCTGCTAGGTGCCATGGGGACAGAGACGGCAGCCCACAAGGTCACCCCAGAATGCAGGGCTCCAGGTCAGGGTTTGTCCACCCTTGCCAGAGTGCCAGGAAAGATGCACAGGGACAGGAAGTGGGGTGAATTCCAGATGAGGAAAACACTCCAACACAGATGTGGATCTGGACCGAGCTTGACTGTACTCTGGGGGTGTCCCTCACCCTCTCCCCTGCTCCTTCATCTGTAAATGGGGGCAGTGATAAACTTCCTCATGGCTGCTTGAGACTTAACACCAGCAAAATCTTCATTATGACCAATGTGTCCGGAGGCCCAGTTTGGGGACTTCTCTGACTTTCCTGCCCCTTCATCCAGCTCCTTGCTAGGACGAGGGTAGCATCTGCGTTTTGTCACCTCATGGCCTGACCTCCACTGCTCTTGAGTGGTCCACTTGGCATCATGGGGCGGTCACCTGAATTTCGGCTTTCAGGAGACCACTTGTCCTCACCCTGGCCAATGTTACTGGTTCTGAGTGACAAGTGTCTACAGGGTTGGCTGAAGGCACAGGCATGTGCTGGTGACTGTCAGAAAAGGAGCTCGGGCCCAGTCTCTGGTGATCCCCAGGCCAGCACCCCTGCTCTTTCGGGAGAAGCCAGCCCGCTGGGCACAGTGCCCAAGGGACTGGAGGACTGTGAGGTGCAATTCCTCATTCACTGCCGTGTGTGGGAAGCGGAGGCCAGCAGCTCCAGCTGAAGCAACACGCAGACGTGCAAGCACACAGCTTCCACAGTGCACACCCCTGCTGCACGTGCACGCATGCACACAGTTCTCCCGTACACACACACACAGCCCCACCTCCTATTCACAGGGGCATAGGACTGTCTCTCCACTGCAGCTCCTGGTACACATTTTCCTCCAAATTACATCACATCGATTATACAAAGTTGCAAAAAATAAATCAAAACCAGTTCGCAGCAACACTTCGCTTTACTCACTGTTTCTCAGCACACACAGATTCTGTCACTGTTTCCTGTGCAATTATTTGGCACCTAGGAAAGACAAGCGTCTATGTGGCAGACACGGAGATGAAACGCAATGCATAACCCTTCAGTTAGCGCTGACCTGGCCTCTGCCTGTCTTCCCTCTTTCTCCCCTTTACCGAAGCACGGGGTTGAAGGGAGTTGGGGAATTTCACACAGAGTCTGCGCGGACAGGATGGACAGGATTGCGGAGGGCCTTGCAGACTGAAGCTTTTTTTCAAAGGCAGCGCGGGAGGCTTAACGTTTAAAGCCTCCTTAATGCACACTGATTCCTTCTTTCTAAACCAGAGCCCTGCAGCCCTGGAGGAGGTTGGGGGGAATGAGTCAGGCTTGGGGTAGCCTCCCAGGCCCGGGAAGCCTGAAGGCCCTAGAGCAGGGTGGATGTTGGAGCCAGACCTCGCCTGATCCCTAACCCCTATGGCCCATGCCCAAGCCTTTGGGGTCCTCTTGGAAGCCCCACCCTAGATAAGCATCCGTGCCAATCTGCTGTCCCCAGGAAGGTGGTAAGCAGATCCTAGGTCCCTCCACATGTCCGCCACAGTCTTGGGCGCCCCATCTGGCTGGACTGGAAGTGAAGTCTCCACCCAGGAGACGCGCTCTGCGCTCCTCCACGTAAAGAAAAAGTTGGGCTGGCGAGCGGCAACTTTTTTTTTTTTAAACCCAAAGGGAGCAAACTTCGGGGACTCCCGCTGGATCAGGTTCTTGGGGCTCGGCCAGGGACGGGCTCCCGGAGCGGGAAGGCAGGGAGTGGGAAACAAGGTGGGCGCCAGACTCCAAGGCAGCCCCCGGCCCACGCGTCCACCCCGCTCCAGCCCCGCGCCCGCTCCGCCCCGGGCCGGCCCCTTCTTCGCCGCGCCTGGCGCCCTGTCCCCGCCCCTCGCCCGCGGCGCCCAGTGGGAGGCGGGGGCCGGCCTCGCAGCGCCCGGCCCCGGCTCTGATTTGTTGCGGACGGCGAGGATCGACAGCCTCCGCGGGTGCCCGCGGGGAGAGGGAGGAGGCAGGGGGAAGGGAGTGCTGGGCGCCCCGGGCGAGGTCCGCACTCCGGCCCGGCTGGCGCAGGACCTCACTCCGCGGAGTGCGCGCGGGAGCGGATCGCGGGCGGCGGCGGCGAGGATTCGGAGTGTAGAGGAGGCCGCGCCAGCGAGCGGGCCGAGCGGCGTCCGGGCACCCGGTGGGCTGAGTGGAGCCCCCGCCGCGGGCGCGCGCGTCGGCCGCCCCTTCCCCGATCCCAGCCGCGAGCCCGCGCGGGGCCGCCTCCTTATGACTTACTGAGCCGGACGGTCCCCGCCGCGTCTGCGCCCCGCGCCTCGTGCGTCCCGTGCGCCCCCGCGCGCCCCGGCCCGCGCCCCGCCGGCATGGACGTCCACACCCGCTGGAAAGCGCGCGGTTCCCCGCGCCCGGGTGCCCGGCCGCCGTCCCTGCCGCTGCTCCTGCTCCTCGTGCTGCTGTGGGCGCCGCTGCCGAGCTGCGCAGGTAAGGGCGCCGGGGTGGCGCGCGGGGCCGGGGCGCGGGGGGCGCTGTCACTCGGGCGCTTGACGCCGCCTCCTCCGCGCCTGGAGAACTTTGCCGGGCCTGTGGAATGCGCGACCGAGCCGGCGAATGCCATTCGCCGGGGGCCCGGAGAGGGAGACGCCAGCCCAGTGCAGTCGCCTCCCTAGGCGCGCGGCAGGGTGGGGCTGCCGCGGAGCCCCCGAAGGCCGCCTGAACGATCCGCCACAGGGCTTGTCCACCGGTCTGCGAGGCGGGCAGACTTTTGTCCCGGGACTTGGCGTGCTCTGTCCCGCATCCCGGGCGGCCAGCTCCGCCCTGTACAGCCCACAGCAGAAGGGCCTCTGCCAAAACCCGGGAAGGGTCGCCCCCTAGAGTCCCAGCCCGCCCATCTGGCGGGCCTCCCGGGGTAGGGCGGAGGGGGTACCCGCAGTTTGAACCCCCCCAGCATCGGACCTTCCGGAAGCAGCCCTTCTTTGTAGGCTGGCGCTGTTTTTTCCCAGGGGACACACAGGGTTTCTTGTGGTCCTGGCCATCTCCTTGTTCAGGAGCTCTGGGGAGTCCTGAGAGGGCTCCTGATCTTACCCCAAATCCCCTGGCCTTGGGAGGCAGGCGGTTTTTCTTGGAGTCACTGCTCAAAAATGGGGTGCATGGAGCATGACGAGGAGATGGCCTTGGAGTTGGGCCAAGATGGTTTAGGTGATGCACAGAGGTGGGCCTCCCTGGCCTGGACGGGGGTGGGGGGCTCAGAAGCAGCCCCGCTTCCCAGGGAGGGCGCCGATGTCCCTGCCTGGATCTTGCTGTGCCAGCTTCCGGGCCAGCTTTCTGACAGGAGCGGTGCTCTATGCATGGCCTAGGGGTGGGGGGCTCATAGGCCCTCCAGCATCGGAACTCAAAGTTCCTTGAGGTCCCCTGGCTGCCCAGTGACAGGCGGGGGAGGGAGAGGGTCCCGGCTTGGGAAAGCATCAGACAGAGGGTTGGGTGTGTGAGCACAGTGGACAGCTGCATCCCCCTTCCCCTTCGCCCAGGGAGGGGCCTCTGCTCCTAACTTGGTGATTTGGCCTCTGCTCCCATCTTGGTGATTTGGAGACTTGGGAAGAATCTCTTTCCTTGTTCCACTTGCCAATTAAAATGCTCCGTTCTTTTTTCCCTGGCACAATTGGAGTTTGGTGGAGTCTAGCAGATGAGCGGGTGTCTGGGGTGAGGCGGTTCCCGGACCCAGTGGGAGGAGAGAGAGGGGGTCCTGGCCTGGGTCCCGGGGTCTGGGATTTGGCCTTGGTTTCTTTGGCGGTCAGTGAGGATTTGGAACAAGAGAAGCCCTAGAGAAGGAGGAAGAATGAGATGATGTGGTGGTGGTGGGGGGCTCCATGGCTGTGCCCTGCCACAGCTCCTGCATGGGGTTCCCAAGGGTCTCGGGAAGAAGTCCCACCCCAGCAGCATCCCTGGCTTCCTAGCCCCTTGTTCCCTGTCTGCTGACCCTGCCACACTCATCCACTCTTCAGTGTCACCTTCTGATGGAGGTGCAGTTCCAGGGCAGGGAGGTGGGGTGGCCTGGGTCATGGCTGTGCCTTTGGACATTGCTTTTGTTGCAAGAGAGCTGGAAGCATGTGAAAAGGCCTCTTTCGTGGATGGGTTTCACAAACCTCACTCCGCCGCCCAGGGTGGGACCCATTTCGAAGTCATCATGCGTGGCCAGCCAACTGGGGGCGGCTGTGCACTGCACATGCCGGGGAGGAGGGAGCAACAGCCAGCCAGCCGGCCAGCTGGGCCCCTGTTCCTTTCTTGTCTTGGGGGGACGTGCCAGATGTTTCCCAAGTTCCCCGAGAACACAGCCCTTTCCCCTACCTTGGTCTCGGTCCAAGCGTGGGAAGAAGCGAAAGCTTAGGGTGCACCCGGGGCTGCTCCACGACGCTGTAACAGGGAAGGAGCATATGGGAAACGAAATGTGACCCCAATATTTGGAAATTGAGGTCATCGCCTCTGCACGCCATTGGTGGGCTCCAGGCACATGATGGCTTTTTGCAGTGGTTTGCAGGGAGAGCTGGCCAAGCTTCAGGAGACTTGATAGATAGCAAATGGTTAAGTTTCCTCTGACTCAATCGAGTTGGCTGGAGAGACACCCTTTCCATCCTCTTCCCTCCCCTGCCCATAAAAGAAGGAGCCAGCAGGAGGCAGCAGCGGCCAAGAGAGTCCCCAGGAAGCCCTCTCCCTGGCTGTCCACGTTTCTGTGCCTGGGGCTACAGTTGTGGTTGTTGCCTGGGGCTGTGGCCACCAGCTGTGGCTGGCGGGCGTGCCTGCCTGGTGCCCGGCTCCAGCCTGTGCTCTGATGAGGTCGCCTGGGCTTTTCCTGGGTGCTGGCCAGCACCAGGCCTTCACCTCACCCTTGGGACATTTCTGCATGCACCCCACCTCCACGTCTTTCACCCCCACAGCTGATGCTGTCTCACCACCTTGGCCTTCCACCCAGGGTCCAGACTTTGGCAGGTGGAGCGGGGTGGGGGGGGCATGAGGATCGGAGCCTTCTGTGCAGCAGGGACAGCCGTGAGCCTGGACCAGTGCTTGGAGCCCTTTAAGGGTCAGGGATGAAACACATCCACCCGGGGCACTGTGTTTGCTGCCTTTCGAGGAGGGGCCTGAGCTGGGCCAGTCCTGCTGGGGATGCATTTGCTGGCACTTTCCTGACTGGTGTCGAGCACTCACACAGGCTGTTCCAGAGATGGGACAGAGGTCCAGCAGTCCCCAGCCAGGGGGTCCCAGGCCCTCTGACTCTATGCCAGGGCCCTGAGGGAGGCAGCCCTCCTGCTGGCACGGGGTGTCCCTGACTCTGGATGGCGGCCTGCTTCACATCTGGTTATCAGCTCCCCCTGGGAGAGGCCCAGAGCTCGGCCTAGTGGGCTGGGGAGGGAGGCGGTCCTTTCAGCCAGCACAGGCCCTGGCCCTCCTTCTGCCCTCTTCCCTGTCTCCCTGGGTCCCCTTCCTTCCCTCTCCCTCTTTTTTCTGTACCCCAGTGCTTCAGTAGGGACCCACCAGGCATCCCTGTGGTCACCCTAACCTGCCTGACCCTGAGGTTTTGCCTTCGCCCCTGGCCTGGGAGACAGTGGGGAGACGGAGGTGAATGGGTCCTCTGGTCCTCTCTAGCAGTGGACGTCTCTGTGTGACTCTAAGTCTTGTGGACCGACTTATTCCCTGGGTCCAGCTGGAAAGATGAGCTGCCCTGCGTGGTGGGGCTTCCTGGAGAAGCTGAAGTAGACTGACTCAGCCTCCTCTCGCCTCCCCTTTCATTATAGAAACCAGGAGCCCGGGAAGGGGGCATTCATGTATGTGTGAATTCACATGCCCTGTGCACATGTGTGTGTGTCAGCACAGCTTTTCTGGGTGCTTCTGCATGCAGGGCCCGGCATTTGTGGGGGACCCCTACAGGATGGAGAGGACCAGATGGAGGTGGCAGGATGCGCTGGGTTCTGCTGCTGGGTCCCATGGTGGAGACTCCTTAGGGGCGGGCACGCCTTCAGCCCGCCCAGCTGTTTGTCTTCTCCTTTATCATCGGCTCATCTGGCATCTGCGTTAGTTTTACCGCTTCTGGCCCAGCGTGAAGATGCCCTGAGATCCTTGGGTCACCTCTCTGGCCCTGCTCAGGGGAAGCACTGTAGCTACTGCAGCACACAATTTGGAGACCAGGGTGTGGAGTGGTGGGGAAGGGTAGGAGGCCTGAGTTTTCATGCTGGCTCCAGCTCTGGCAAGCTGTGCAGTCATGGCCTTGTGCCTCAGTTTACTCACCCATAGGAATGGCATGCTGATGGTAGGATTTTGGCATGGGATGTACGCATAACTCACAGAAAGCACAAAGCAAGCCCTGACATCAGTCGAGTGGACCTGGGGTTCTGAGGCAGCTGGGGAGGTTCAGTTACGGGCTCTTGGTGTCTGCTTCCTGGCTGCACAATCACCCTCCCTCTCATGGAAGGGATTATGGGGGGGCTGCCTCATTGGGTGACCATTGGAGGGTCTGTCCAGCCAGTTACTGCTGCTCCCAAGCCATCCTCAGGCGGGCTGGTGGGCTGTCCTGGCCCATGCCAAGTTCACCATGCCCCTCCCTTCCCCTCGGAAGGAGCTGGGGTCCAGAGGGGACTCGGTGCCTTCTAGAATGGGTGTGGGAGGGGACTTTGTCCTATGCTGGTGTGGCCCAACCCCAGGCCCTGGGCGGATGCTTGCGGGCTGGATGCTTGCTGGAGCGCCTGGTGTAGGTGGCAGCCTCTGTGTGTTGTGTGTGGATGAGTCCGAACCACCAGCCCATCAGCTTCCTATCAGTGTAGTCATTTATCTGGAAGATTCCCAGCCTTAGGAATAACCCTGTATTAGTGGTCAATGTCACCGGCGTTGGGTGACTCAGGCCTCAACCATGGAACCACAGTCTGACCCACTTTACTGAAAATGTAATTATGCAGGGCCAGGGGAGGGGGCTGGTGTGTGTGCGCTGGTCCTCTGAGTTGCTTCTGCCCGTGACACAGAGGACTTCTTTATTCTGTGTATCTTAGACCTGTGTTTTTAGGGGAAGTTTGATTTTCTGTTCCTTTTTTTTCCTGAAAAGCATCTTGGCTGGAGGGATTCGGATTCTGGTGCCTCTGTGAATACAGGCAGCAGAAGGACATCACAATGTGTGGGCAGGCAGAAGTGCTTAAATGAGAGAGCCCAACCACTCTTCCCAGGGACGAGGGACGAGGACGCGCTCTAATGAGGGGAAAGTATGACTCAGCCTCATCCATTCCACTGTGGGGAGTTGAGGTGGCCAGCGGGTACTGGCCAGGCCCATGTGTGAAGTGGTTGGGCAGCCTCAATTATACACAGGAGCGTCTATGGCCCGCTGATGGGAGACAGGTGAGTGTCCCTGGCCTGCAGGAGGTTCCTGAGAGTGGAGGCCAGATGCCTGAACAGGCAGCTTCAGGATGTCAAGGGCAGCAAAACATACCAGCCAGTAGTAGATCCTGGTC